TCTACAATCTTTACCCATCTGCCACTCTCTGTCTCTTGACTATTGCATTTAAACCATTCATATTTACTATGATTATTTATAGATATGAATTTACAGTAAATTGTATGTTATACTCTATATTATACTTTTTTGTGTGTGTACTGAGTTCTTTTTGTTTTGAATTGCCCTTTCATCTCCTTCATTTCTATTGATTTTGTGTTTACTGAGTCTTTTTGGTTTTCTTTATTCTGGTGAATTGGTGTATTAATTTTCAATGTGATTATTCTAAGATTTACCTGTTTCATCTTAAGTTTAAACATTTTGTTATTTCTTGATATCTCAATGACTTCCTCTCGATAAGGAAATTCTATTACTACACAATTGTTCCCTCTTTTTGTTTTGAAGTTGTTTTCAGTTGCAGATTGATGTCTCTGTATCCCTGTTTTCATTTCCCCAGCCTTTATTTTACTTTTGAGAGTTGTTTATCTATGTTGGTATCTGAGTGATGCTGTTATGTGTTTTAATCTCAGGTTGTTTTATGGTGTTATCAATTCTTTATCTTAAAAACTCCCTTTTATTTCTTGTAGAATTAATCTACTTTTACAAATTCTCTTAATTTCTATTCATCTGAGAATGTAGTAATTTCATTATCATATTTAGAAGAAAAATTTTGTAGTTATGCTTCTTGGTTGGCAATCCTTATATTTCAGAGTTTTCTGTATGTCATTCTATATGCCAGGAGGTCAGAGCTTTGTCTTACTGGTGCTCCTTTGTATGTAATATTTCATTTCTAAGGAGCTGCTCTCAGAATTCTTTTTCTTTGGTTATGGAAATTTTAATTATAATATGTCTTGGTAGTATTCTTTTGGGGTCTATCCTGTATGAGGTTCATAGAACTTCTTGCATGGAAATCTTCTAATCTTTCATGATATTAGGAACATTTTCAAACTCTCTCTGTGATTTGTCTCCTTGTGTTCTGGAATTCCAGTTGGGCAAAGATTATTCCTCTTGATAATGTTTCTAATATCTCTTAAGCTTTATTGTTTGTCTTCATTCTTTTCTTTCCACTTGGTCCTCAGTAAAATTATTTCTTCCATTGATTTAATTCTACTTCTATGTCCTTGAATTATCTATTTCTCATATTTTAATCTTCTTTATTTCTAGTTACTGTTACTGAATGGGTTTCTAATTGTCTATTTTTTTTTTTTTTTTTTGTCTTTGAATTGTTTTTCTGCATGTCTCTAGAGTGTTGTCTGTGTTTTGCTTGGTCTCTCTGATGAGTCTAAGTATTTTGAATTCCTTATTGAGTAGTTCCATTACCATGTCTTCCTCAGAAAATGTTTCTAGCCCTCTATTTTGGTAATTTACTTGAGCCGTCTTATCCTCCTTCTTTATATGATTTGATATTTTCTAATGTCTCTGAGCCATTCACATTATTGATTGATTACATCCTTTTCCAGATTTTTTTTTCCTTTGTTTTAGTAGATTTGGGCAGGTAAGGGATTGTGCAATGCTGATAGGTACTCTGGCAGTGCTGGGGCTATCACCACCTGTCTCTGTGTGGGTAAGGCAGTGATGATATTGTGAGTATAGTTTTCTGTTTTGCTGGTCATGCAAGATGTGACAGGACATATTGGATGGGTGCTGGCTGTCTGTCATAGACCCAGTGGCAGGAAGTGGGAAGTGACAATTGTTAAGAGTTTAGAGTAGTAGGTGTGGTGGGTGTGCAGGTGAGGGGAGCACCTGAGCACTTTCCCTTGCTGAGTTTGCAGCAGGGTTCGCCAGGCTACAGGGCAAGGTCATGAGAGCATCCCTCACTGCTTGGAGGGTCAGGTGGCCAAGCAAGAGCAGAGTGGACAGTATGTTCCTAGACCTCTGGAAAGACGGGAGGAAAAGTTAGGAGGACAGGGCAATCAGAGGAATCCTGCACTGCTCAGGGGGCAAGTCACCAGCTGAGAGAGTGGGATAAGCCATCAGGGTCATGTGAGTGATCTTGTGCTGCTCATGGAGGATTAATCTGTCAAGAGTCAAGGTTGGGTTGTTGAGGTTGGCAGAAGAGTTCTGTGCTATTCAACAGGGATGAGACACCAGGTGAGGAAGTGGTCAAACAGTCAGGGTCATTGAAGCTGTCCTATGCTGCTCAAGGAAGTGGGTCATAGAGTGGGGGATGTGGTCACGCAGATATGGGCACTGCATCTACAGCTGCTCATTGTGCTGGCAAAGAGAAGTATGGCAGATAGGGATAACTGGGGTGTGGGGAGAAAGTAGCGGGGAAGGGAAAGCTCTGTAGTCTTTGGAAGTCAGAGCTATAGGGACAGAAGAATTCGTACCTTTAGTCACCAGGAATTTGGAGTGATGGGTAGTGTGCTCCTCAAGTCACCAGGAGAGGTCATCTGAGCACTTTTCATTGGCAGCAGTCAGCAATTGGGAACTGGCCTTGATTAATTGTGAGGAAGGATGGCTGCCTGTAGTTCAGTTGGGTGAGGAATCTATTAATTTGTGCATATAATCTACCCTAATGATCAGAGACCACTGCTCTTGAGTAAATCTGACTCTGTATCCAGGCTCGCTCTCTACCCTGAACTCCAGGATCCTTGGAACTCTCACCATCCTTTCTGTGCTTTCCTTCTTAAGATCCATGTTAAGTTCTCACCTTGCATCCATCTGCATGTGTGTACTCAGTTTCTCTGTGTTAGAGATGCCGTGAAGTTGCCTTCCTGTGCTCCTCATCCAGGATTGTTGCTGGTTTTGTCTCAAGAAGGCAATGCTGAGCCTGAATGGCTGGCAGAGTTCCTCCACTCTGTATGACTCCTTCTCTGTGTTTATTCAATTTCTCCTTCTAGTCAGTGTTCAGTTCAACTCTTTATCTTTCCTTTTGATATTGAGAGTTCCAGGATTGTCCTCTGCATGTATTTCACTTGGTTTTTTGAGTCTTTGCTGTAGAGGAACAGCATGGTGTGCCCGACTAAACCACCATCTTGGCTCCTGCCTCGTGAGGATCATTTGAGATACATGGCTCTGCTTGATTTTCTAGTGATTTCTGGTGGCTAGAAATACAAACACACATACACACACACACACATAATTGCTGAGAATTATTAGATAAATATTGGTATAAAGTGTAAAGGTGAAACTACTAATAGCCTAAAGGAATCCATTCCTTCCAGAAGGGATATAGGAAAAGGTATTTATTCATCTTTCGAGCACTTATAGGTAAAGTTGATGTTGATGTCCTTCTAATAAGAAACACCTTTCTGAAATTAAAAAAAGAAAAAAATCCTACTCCTCAATATTTGTTCACTGATTATGATATAGACATATGACTTTTTTTTTTTTTTCCAATAGACACAAAAATATACTATTGTTTTGACCCTCCATTAAATGATCCAGATTATGAAGTATTTACTGTGGCTAACTCTTGAACATGAGCTCCTTTTAAAAACTTAAAAGTCTTTCTTCACCATTCAAAACAATGCAACACACTGCCATCGAGTCAGATCAGACTCGTAACGACCCCTCCTTGGGTTTCTGAGGTGGTATCATTATGGAAGTAAATTGCCCAACCTTCCTTCTGACGAGTGGCTGATAGGTTTGAACCGCCAGCCTTCTGGTTAGCCGTCAAATGCCTTAGGTACTATATTCCCAGATTCTTTTATATAAAGGACACTAAATATACTTGGTGAAAGTTAATATGATTATGACCGTGTGAAAAAGTTCAAGTTAATTTCTCTAATTATAATTTTCATCAATAACTTGCCAAAGACTGAAAATTGAACCAAAGTGACTTATCAAAGTGCCACATCATTTTCAGAGAAGCAAAAACATATAGTATATGATGCTTTTATTCAAATGCCAGTTGGTAAATATCACACACCATTATCACAGGGACATATTGAATTTGACAGTAATTCTGAAAAAAAAAAAAAGGTCATAAATGATACAGACATATCTAATTGTAGGAAAAAAAAAGTGTATTACTATTATTACAGTAGGAGCTCTGGTAGTGTAGTGCCTAAGGCACTTGACTGCTAACCAGAAGGCTGGAGGTTCAAACCTACCAGCCACTCCTCAGAAGGAAGGTTGCGCAATCTACTTCTGTACTGATACTGCCTTGGAAACCCAAGGAGGGGTCGCTATGAGTCGAGTCTGATGGAAAATAACAACAACAATTATTACAGTAGACTACACCAAAATTCATATGAAATCAGACTCATTCAATAAATATTGAATATTATTACTGCTATGTCTTGTCAAGTCAATTTTGATTCATAGAAACCATGTCTGACAGAGTAGAGTAGTCCCATAGGGTTTTCTAGCTGTAATCTTTATGAGAGCAGATCACCATTCTCCTAAAGAATAGCTGTCTGGGTTTGAACTGTCAAGTCTTTTGTTAGCAGCCAAGTGCTTAATTGTTGCTCCACCAGAGCTTCTTAATTGTGGTCTTCTCTGTGTTAAAAAGATGTCAGTGAGTCTCAGCTGTCCTACTAGTTATGTTATCTTGAGAATTTCACCTTCAGTTCTTCTGGTTTTCTGCAGTAAACAGTAATAATAATATCTATAATATAGATTTTCTCTAAAGGTCCAATGAAATAACGTATATGACCATGTTTACCATGTTTGAAGTCTTCAATACTCTATATATGGAGTCATTCTTTCCATTGTTAAAGTCTTCTGAAAAGACAATATAATGTAAAGGAAAAAGAACAAAAAAAAGTTGAAGGTGTGATTCTATTTTCTGGTTTGCTATTCTCTAGTCACCTGAATTTGAAGTCAATTAATTTTTAAATTACTGCCAACCTTAGAAGAGCAAATAAAGAGATTTGGGAGAGTGCTTTTTAACATGGAACTTTTTATATAAACATATGTAATTTTTATTAAAGCTTAATTTCTTGGAGACAGAGAAACCTGACATAATTTAGTCTTTTTTTTTTTTTTTTACTTGAGTCATGCTAAAGGGTTTTCCAATTGTAGAAGATAGTGACAAAAATATGAATCAATTATTATCATTTTTCTTTCCCCAGTGCAAGTGCTGGCCTGGATTCCAACTGAAGGATAATGGTAAAACATGTGTAGACATTGATGAATGTTCTTCGGGCTTTCCCTGTAGCCAGCAATGCATCAATACATACGGAACCTACAAGTGCCTCTGTACAGAGGGGTATGAAATACAACCTGATAACCCAAATGGCTGCAAATCACTCTCAGGTATCAAATTGAACTTGCCTACCAATTTAACCCCAGTTACTTATATAGACCCAGAATTTTATAGCCTTTCTTATTGAATTCACTCCTCCTTGCTGATCCTGATATATCAAAATTCTTCTATATTTTTCCATTTATGGGACTCTATCTTACTGTGATTTTATATCCTGTAAATATACTGCATTGTTTGTGATAACATTTCATTATAGTCTTGTGAATTATTAAGTGCTTACTGGATGTTGAGAGTGCTCATGAGCAAATACAACTATCTGGCACTGCTTCTTCTTGAGTCGCAGAATTCTGGGAATAAGTTCAGCCAAGATTATTATGGACTCTATTGTGATAGTGTGGTAATATATTTTCCTACTGTTCTCTGCCCTTCATGTATGTCTGTGAAAGCTACAGGTAACAATAATAGTAATAATAACAAAAACCTGAAACAGTTGTCATGGAATTGATTCTCACTCATGGCACCTTTATATATATCAGAGTAGAACTATGGTCCGTGTAGGAGCTCTGGTAGCATAGTGGCTAAAGCACTTGACTGCTCCCCAGAAGGCTGGCAGTTCAAACCCACCAGCCACTCCTCGGAAGGAAGGTTGGGCAATTCTACTTCCATAGTGATACTGCCTTGGTCCATAGTGATACTGCCTTGGAAACCCAAGGAGGGGTCGCTATGAGTCTATGAGTATATGAGTATATGACTATGAGTTGGGGCTGACTCGACGGCACATAACAACAACAACAACATGGTCCGTGTAGTTTTCATGGGCCATGGCTGATTTTTCAGAAGTAGGTCACCAGGCATTTGTTTTGAGGCATCTCTTGGTAGACACAAACTCCAACCTGTCAATTTGCAGTCAAGCATGTTAATTGTTTGCACCACCAGTAACTCCAATAATTATAGTACAGATATACATTCCTTAACGTCCATGATAATTTATGTGAAACAGATGTTATGTAATTTGGACATTATGTGAACACCATATTATATAAAGGCAATCCTGCACAATCCATAATTAAATTTCTCTAAAGCCTATTATATTAAAACCTCATGGGAACCAACTGGACAAATCCCAAGAGTGGTATCCACTGGATACATGAGGTCGGCCTTGCCTGGTGTGTGACTGGGCCTAATGGGTGATGATCTGGCAAACAGATAGTCTGGACATAAGGGGAGGGCCCATGGGGGCATGGAGAGGTGGCTGCAGGAACTGGGAGGGGAGCAGGTTGTGGGTGCCAAGAGTGCAGCTGGCAGTGATGACCCTGGCAGCCACCACCTTGTCAGTGTGGGGTGCTTCCTGATCTTGGGTAGTCACTGCCACCACTGCCCAGAGCTAAGACCCCACAGGAAACTTGGACCCTATCAGTGCTTCCAACACCTAAGCAGGAGTAGAAAAGCTGCCAGCAGGTGCTGCCCTGCACCAAGTGCAAAATGCTGCATGGTTACCAGGTGGATGAATGGAGCTAGGAAGAGGAGGAGGAAGAGGTTCTGTGGGGGACTGTGGTGCATCCTGAGCCCTACTGCTCCTTCACTCTGGGGTTTGTGGTTTTCAAAATCATTAAAGGGAAATAATAAGCAAAATGAGAGTTATTTTTCTTTAAAAAAAAAAAAAAACTTAAAGGGACCACATTCATATATGCAGTCAGAAATTGTCCCAATGGACTTTAAGCAATGTGTGCCTGTAATTATAATAATAAATACACTATATAAGACTATTTCAATTCTTTTATTGATTCATCAAATACTTACTAAACTTCTGCTATATTCTAAATTGTGTGTTTGACTTTTCAAAATAGAAAGTTCAATAAAGCAAGGTCTATAACTTGAAAGTATTTAATCCATTACGGGAGAAAATTACACACATTAAAATAATACAAATCAAATATTTGATTCTTAAAATGAACACAAAATGGTGCATAATACTCAATGCATTAAACATATATATCTCAAGTCACCTTAGTTTGTTTTTGAGCATAATGAGTCAAATGGCATTTGCCAATGTCAGTGTGTGAGCACTAACGTGACAACACTGAGAGTATTATATATTTTCTCATCTGTTTTCATGAAATGAATACCTGGGATAGGAATTAGAAAGTGTGGTTCTTGTCCCTGGTAAAATTTTGCATGTTAGGAGGAAAGAAAGAAACTCTTTCGACTTTCCATTCCACTCTTATTCTAGGAATACTATTTCCAGAATTAATTTTTCAAGCACATTGTTTTATCTACTTACTTATCTGCTTTTGGTTAGCTTACTGCTTGCTATATTATGTATTTAGTTACATACAAAGAAAAAGGAGAAGAAATTTTGGTCAACGTTACCATTACTTTAAAACCTTTAAAAAAGATTGTTGGGCAAAGATGAATGCTAACAATTAAAATTTGGGCCTTGTTATATTATTTATCCATACCATAGTTATTTCCCTTTAGATATAAATAACAATTTTGAATGGCAAAAATAAGTGTAACAGAAGGATAAATCTTTTAAGAAAAGGAAGGCCAGATTATTAGTATTATTTTAATTGTGATTTGGGTGAAAGTTCACGGAGAAAATTCATTTTCTATACAACAGTTCATAGGTGTTTTGTTTCATAACATTAACTACAATCTCCATAATTTAACAGCTCTCTTCCCATTTCTTTCTTGCAGTTACCTTTTCCCTGTGTCTTTTCCTATGCATTTCTGCCTTTGGAGCTATCTCCCTATGCAAATACTGCCCTTCTAATCTCTCATCATTTATTGTTCTAAAGAGTGTAGTTACCTGATGTAAATGTTCACCTTATATGCTTGTTTATTGTTTGGCTGGAAGCAACAGGAGTGAGTTCCGTTCCAGGTCTGAAGAGTGATTAGAGGCCATCGTCTTGGGGATTTCACCAGTCTCTATATAGCAGACCACTAAGCCTATTCTTTTTTATGATTTTTAGTTTTGTTTCACATTGTTCTTCCACTCTATCCAGGATCTCCTGCAATGATCCCTTTCTAAGAGGTTGATGATGGTAGCCAGACACCATCTAGTTCTTCTGGTTTCATGGTCATACAGGCTGTGATTACATCTTTTTTTTTTTTTTTTTCATTCTTCTTTGCTTGGGTAGAGGAGAGACCAACTATTGGTTCTAGATGTCCCCTTGCAAGCTTTTAAGACCCCAGTAGCTACTCACCAAAGTAGGATGTAGAACTGTTTTTGTGTAGTATGTTATGCCAATTGAGCTTGATGCCCCCTGAGACCATAGTCCTGAGCCCACAGGTCCAACAACTTGCTCACTCAGAGTGATTGGATTTGGCTAAGAATTTATCATAACTTTGCCTCCTTTTAGTTCAGTTTATATGTACATTCTTACGGCATATACAAATATGTATGCAGCAATAACATCTGCCAACCTTATATATGTTTGTGAGTATATTGCGTTTTGCCTAGACATACTTGACCATTCAGCCTGTCTACCTATGTATTTACCTATAAATTAATATTTGTTATTACTGATAATGCAGTATTGTGTATGTAAGTGTTTATCTTTATTATCTGTGCCTCTTCTGCACCTTTTTGTGTCTTCCTTTTCCTTAGTGTCACTGTGTTGGTCACTCATTTTTAGTATATTGCCTTTGCCTTCATCCAAATCTGTACTCATCTCTTATCTATCTAGCAATTTTCCTTTTCCTCCCTTCCTATCCTTGGTAAACAACAAAGAAATATTCATTCCATATTGTTGTGGTTACCCAGTGCCGCTCTGACATGAATATATACCACAAGTGGGTTGGCCTTAACAAACAGGAATTCATTTTTTTACAGTTTGGAGGCTTTAACTCCAAGTTCAAAGTGCCAGGATCTAGGGGCTGGGTGAAAGCCCCTTAGGCTTGGGCTTCAGCTCTGCCTCCAGCTCCAGGCCCACTGAAGCTGGATGCTTTTCTTCACTCAGACAGCTAATGTCTGCGAAGGCTGCCAAGCCCAAGGTTGACAAGTAAAATGACACAGTCCCAATATTACCAAACCGCACAGGAGGCCATTAATTCAAGTCCACTATAAGTCCCCAGTTCAGCAGAACATGGCAGGCTTCTGAACAATGATGCAGCTTCATGCAGGGTCCAACTTGCCATAAACTAGAGACTATCATCAAAGCTTGTCCTTATATACAGGAAGCAGACCACATCCCAAAGGCAGCTACTCAGCAGCATGTGGTAGATCCCACCATGGAGTTGATTTCCAGTCTTATCATGGGGAATAACTACCACCAGCTGCCCAGACACTCAACCAGGCCCAGCCAAGTTGGCATACAAATTTAATTACCACACATATATAAATCTTTCCTTGACTTTTTACAATAGTGACCTAATACAATATTTGTCCTTCTGCGATTGACTTATTTCATTAAACATAATGTTCTCCTAGTTTATCCATATTATGTGGTGTTTTTCAGATTCTACATTATTCTTTAGTATTATAGTATTTCATTGTGTGTATGTACCATAGTTTTGCTATCCATTCCTCTCTTGATGGGCACTTAGTTTGCTTCCATCCCTTTGCTATTGTGAATAGTGCTGTGATGAACATGGGTGTACAGATATCTATTTGAGGCCAGATTATGTTTAACAATGCATATTTAAATCATAAAGAGAAAAAGTTCCTAAATATTGAGGTAGGATATACCTGATTACTTTTATATTTATGGATTTAGAACTATATCAACTAGGATGGTGTCTTAGTTATCCAGTGTTGCTATAACAGAAATACCACATGTGGATAGCTTTAACAAACAAATATATTCTCTTACAGTTTAGGAGGCTAGAAGTTCAAATTCAGAGTGCCAGCTACAGGGGAAGACTAGGTTAGAAGTCTGAATTCAGAGTGCTGCCTCTAGGGAAAGGATTTCTTTCTCAGTGTCTCTTAATCCTAGGAGGATCCCAGTGCTGGGACCTTGGGTCCAAAGGACATGCTCCTGGTTCTTTCTTGTTGGTAGTAGGTCTTCCCACTCTGTGCTCATTTATCCTTCCTTTTATCTCTTCTACAATAAAAGGTGTTATGGACCACACCTCAGGGAAACTCCAGTTATATCAAATCAAGCCTGAGATGAGATTAAGGGTGTTGCATCCCACCTTAGTCCTCTTGCAACTGATTGGTTTATCACATCAGATTGTATCATGGGGAATCATCACATAACTGCCACATTAGATCATTGCATAACTGCCAAACCAGTGAGAATCATGGTCCAACCAAGTTGATACATATTTTAGGGGGATGTAATTCAATCCATGACATTCCAACCTTTGGCCCTCCAAAATCCATGTCCTTGCCAGATGCAAAACACTTTCATCCCATCATATCCTAAAAGTCTTAAATTGAAGTCCAAAATCCATCCAGGGCAATTTCCTCTTCATCTGTTAATCTAGATTACAATTTATCTGCCTCTCAATCTCTGGTGATATAGTGTCTAAGGCATTTGACTACTAACCAGAAGTCTGGTGGCTCAAGCACACCAGCCACTCCTCTGAAGGAAGATTGGGCAATCTACTTCCGTAGAGACACCACCCAGAAACCCAAGGAGGGGTCACTATGAGTTGAATTGACTTGACAGCAGTGAGTTTGGTTTTTCTTGTTTGTTAAAGTACAAAGGTGGAATAGGTGCAAGGTAGACATTTCCACTAAAAATGGTAGAAAGTGGAAAGAAAGAAAGGATAACATGAAGGAAGTAAAAAAAAAAAAAAAAAACAGCAGAACAATTTACATGAGCTCTCAATCCTGTGTTCTCTGAACCACATAGACAATGGCCCTACCCTCTAGACTCTCAGTGTTAGCCATGTTCTCTGGTCATTTACTAGAGGCCTGTGGACCCTGGGCTTCAGCTCTGCCTTCCAGGCCCACTGGAATGGCAACTCTGCTCCCTCAGTTTTTGGCTGCCTCATTCTCCTAATCCATCTGAGTGGTGACCTCACCCCTCCAGCTCTGCCAAGCCCTGTTCTTCTGCCCCTTGGGCTTGGCAGTCAGCTCTGAGCAGCAGATCTGGCCCCATCAATTGGCACTCATGAACAGCAGCCCTACACTTCAGAGGTGGGGAATATCTGACTCTGAAACAAAAGAAGCTATGGCCTCATCCTTAGTGACCTAGCAAGCTTGATGGTTCTACCCTTTGAAACCCCAGAGGTTGTAGTCTTCCATTTTAGAAAGAGGCAGCTCTGCTTCCTGTTTTCCTTGTGTCTTCACCTAATCCTTCCTATTTCCTTGGTCTCTTGAAGAGGCCAGCCTGGCATATACCCTGCTCTGGAAAGTGTTACAAAACTCTTTAGCTGTACCAATTAGTGCTCTGAGTCGTCACCACACTCCACCAGGAAGCCTTGGCCAAAAGACACCTAGCTCTGTAACTCTGTGGGTCAGGAAGCTTAACTCTGAGGACAAGTACATGAAGATATCCCACTCCTCCAGGAAGCCTCCTGCCAAAGGCATTCAGCTCTTTAGCTCTATGGGTCAGCTCCAGCTCTGTCTTGTGCCTGGCACTTTGTTCTGCTGTTGCAGTCTCTCTGCCACTGCTTCTCACTGCTTTTGAGTTGTGGTGTTGGCAAAGAATGCTGTGAGTTTCGTGGACTGCTAAAAGAACTGACAAATCTGTCCTGGAGGAAGTGCAGCCAGAATGCTCCTTGAAGGCAAGAATGGCCAGAACTTTGGCTCACCTACTTTGATCATGTTGTAAGAAGGGATCACTCCCTGGAGAAGGATATATCATGCACAGTAAAGTGGAGGGTCAACCAAAAAGGGGAAGGCTCTCAACAAGATGGATTGGCACAGTGGCTACAATGATGGGTATAGCAAGGATCATGGAGCTGGCAGTGTTTCGTTCTGTTCTACATAAGGTCACTATGAGTCAGAAATGACTCAACGACACCTAACAACAACAGCTTCTTGCTGTCTGCACCATCTCTGGTGTTACAGCTATCCTCCCTCTCGTGAGTCTTCATCCAAATTGAGTCTCTTCAAAACAGTCGAGACTTTTACTACTAAGCATCTTAGAAATCTTCCAGCCTCTACTCATTACCCAATACAAAAACTGCATCCACATTTTAAGTATCTGTTAGAGAAGCACCCTATTCTTCTGGTACCAAATTCTGTCTTAGTTATCTAGTGCTGCTATAATAGAAATACCACAAATGGATTCCTTTAACAAACAGAAATTTATTCTCTCACAGTTTAGGAGGTTATAAAACCAAGCTCAGACCACCAGCTGTAGGGGAAGTTTTCTTTCTCTGTGTCTCGGTCCTCAGAGAATCCCAGCTCAGGGACTCTGGGTCCAAAGCACAAGCTCTGCTCATGCCTCTTCTTTCTTGGTGATAGTAGACACCAACTCTGTGTTCATGTCTCTCTCCTTTTACCTGTTGTAAGATAAAATGGGTTGCAAGTCATACCCCAGGGGAACTACCCTTATCAAGGCTGTGATGGGATTAAGGATGTTATATCCCACCTTAATCCTTTTAGAACTATTGGTTTATCACATCAGATCACATCATGGGAAATCATCACCTAACTGCCATATTACATCATTACCTCAGAGAAACTACAGAGACTCATGGGGCAGCCAAATTGACATATTTTTGGAGGGACACAATTCAATTCATGACAGATGGCAAGGGACCTTCAACTTCAGAGCCTATTCCGTGTTGAAAAGGATTCTAAATCTCCGTTTAGGCTCCACAGGAACATTGGGATGATTACCAATAATAGGGGCAAAGCCCTCAGGCAGATGAACAGAATTCATAATAATTCGTAATAGAGGGGAGTGTCAAGCACATGATTCTATTCTTGAAATAAGCTATGTTGAAACATAGTGCAAGATAAAACAAAAAATAAATTCATTGCTGCCAAATTGATTCTGACTCACAGAGATGCCACACGTTACAGAGTATAATTGTGCTCCTTAGGTTTTCTTGGCTATTATTTTCACAGAAACACATCATCAGGCCTTTCTTCTGTGATGTTCCTGGTTGTATTCGAACCACTAACTTTTCTGTTCGTAGTTGAATATGAACCATTTGTGCCACCCAGGGATCTATTAATATAATATCCTACATATTATCCATTTACTATGAAATCAAAGGGCAAAAACAAACACATAGGACAAATAACTCTATAGTAATAAATAATTTATAATAAAATCTGCATCAATTATATAGTGTGACTATGTCTAGCAATGTTTTTTCTAATTATTGCCAACAATCAATTTACTTACCTGGCAGCTAAGTATATGAATGCATCTTAGGGGGGGAAAAAGAAAAAAGATGATTAACAAGAGTTTAAACATATTTTTAATGAATTGACCCGGCATTATAACAATTGAAAATGTGGTTATGTTGACTTTAAATTATTCAAATGCATATTCAGATAAATACACTGTGCAAAATTTTCTGGATAGCTTTTCTTTACACAGTTTGTTTCAGAATAAATTCTTAAGAGAAACCCTATCTAGAGAAGTAGAAGGTAGAGAAATACCAACTTTCATATATGGAGCATAGTCAAATTCTCAGGATGTTCTTTTCTAGATTCTGAAACAAACAAGACGTTTTACTTCACTGAGACAGCTCATAACAAAGAAATAAATATTTTTGAGTGTTTGAAAAATAAGACTCGTAAAGAAAAGTAAAGTTAAGCTAGGATTCTAGAATGAGAAGTTCACAAATTATTTGGAAAGCCCTCAGGCAGATGAACAGAATTCATGTAGGCAATGATGTTCTTATTTTCTGTCAAAGTCATTTTGAGAGCATAACTGTGTTATTTTCTAATTGGAATTTAGCTGTACTGTAGATTTCCAAGGAGCTCTGATGGTGTAACGGTTAAAGCATTTTCTTGATATATAAAAGGTCGGTACTTTTGAACCCACCATTGCTCCACAGCTTCTTTAAAGATTTAGAACCCTTAAAATTCTGTGGGGTAGTTCTATTCTGCCCAGTACAGTCTCTAGGAGTCAGAATTGACTTGAGCACAGTGGTTTTTTTTTTTTTTTTTTTGGTAGGTTTCTAAGGTAGGTTTAGATTTTCCTTTCCTAAAATTCATTTAAAATATCCATTATAGCAGCAGATCTTTTCTACTTATTCCAAATAAATTGAATATTAAAGAAATTTGAGGGGGAAAAGGGAATACAGTTAGAATTATCTAGATTTTCTGTTTATCCTGGGTATCTCTGACTTATCATTTTATTATTAATGGATACTTTCATATAAGTATACACATTTATCATAAATTTTGTTTTGTTTGAACCATCCTGGTGATGCTCCCAAGTACCAGCTAAATAAGGTGCTTGGTATGAATTTTTAATCATTGATTTACCAGAGGAGCACTACATTTGAAGTTACATTGCTCCTGAAACTAAGCAGAGTTGAAAACCATTAATATTAAAACAGTCTACTTTGTTCTTTGTCTTTGTATCAGATGAAGAGCCTTTTCTTATTCTAGCCGATCATCACGAAATAAGGAAGATCAGCACTGATGGCTCCAACTACACACTTTTAAAACAGGTATGCCATTCTCAGGATTTCCTAATATTTAATATGTTTACTTTGGGTATTCCTTACAGTTATAGAAATAATTTACAATTAGAAACTACATATCATTCATTCATGGGTATTTGCATGGAATTATATATGATTATTATAAACTATCCTCATGATGCTCTCAACTTGATTCATCACACCAGTCAAAGAAAATAAAAGATGGCAAAGAATAATTAATGCAAAAAATACTTCTTGTAGTTGTTGTTTGCCTTTGAGCCGGACCCGACTCATAGCGCCCCCTCCTTGGGTTTCTGAGACAGTATCACTATGGAAGTAGATTTTCCCATCTTCCTTCCAAGGAGTGGCTGTTGGGTTTGAACCGACAGCCTTCTGGTTAGCAGTCAAGTGCCTTAGCCAGCCTTCTGGTTAGCAGTCAAGTGCCTTAGCCACTATGCTACCAGAGCTCCCCAAAAATGCTATCTCAAAAAAAACTACATACAAACACAAACATATATATTTTATAAAATATGTAAAATTTTCCTATGAAATTTTTTTGCAGATGATCCAAATTATTTCCTTGGGATTTAAATATATTTAGCATTTCTAGAAATTCAAGTTTCTGTTCATAGAAGCAGGATGTTCTGGTTACCTAGTGCCTCTCTGACAGGAATATACCACAAATGAGATGGCTTAAACAAATAGGAGTTTATTCTTACAATTTAGAGGCTTTAAGTCCAAGTTCAAAATGCCAAGCTCTAGGCCCTAGGTGAAAGTCCCTCAGCCTTGGGCTTCAGCTCTGCCTCCTACTCCCAGCCCATTGAAGCTGGAGGCTTTTCATCACTTAGACACTTCTGGCTGCTGAGGTTGACAAGCCCAAGGATGACAAGTAGAAAGGGACAGTCCTGATGTTACCAAACCACATGGTAACCATTAATTCAAGTCCATTGTAAGTTCCAAGGTCAGCAGAGCATGGCAGGCTGCTGAACAATGACATGACTACGTGCAGGATCCAAGCATGCCATAAACTGTAGACCATTTGCCAAGGCTTCTGCTTATATACAGGAAGCAGACCACATTCCCAAAGGCAGGTACTCAGCTGCTCATAGTAGATTCCACCATGGAGTTGATTACCAGTCTCATCAGCTGCCCAGCCACTCAACCAGGCCCAGCCAAGTTGACACACAAACTGAACTACCACACAGGAAGTAAAATGGGATTGATGATATCTAGCCTTCACAGCTTAGAATCAGCAAAGGAGCAAAAATGTGATTGTAGCTCAGTATGGTTAAAAAACTGGGAAGGTACATGTTTTCACTCTTACCCTCTTCATCTCTGAACCCTACTTCCTACTTACTTCAAGACACTTTGGGCTGATTTGTCCTGGTTTTCGAATCATATTCTCAGTGTTTATATTATATATTTTATATAAAATATATATATATTTGTTGTTGTTGTGTGCCATGTGCCATGTGCCATGGAGTCGGACCCAAGGGTTTCTGAGGCAGTATCACTACAGAAGTAGATTGCCCAGCCTTCCTTCTGAGGAGTAGCTGGTGGGCTGGTGGGTTTGAACCCCCAGCCTTCAAGTGCTTTAGGCACTACAATCTATGAGCGTATATATATATATACACATATACATGCTTTGGGAGCGTAGTACCTAAAGTGCTTGACTGCTGACCAGAAGGCTGGCAGTTCAAACCCACCAGCCACTCCTCGGAAGGAAGATGGGGCAATCTACTTCCGTAGTGATACTGCCTCGGAAACCCAAGGAGGGGTCACTATGAGTCAAGTTCAACTTGACGGCACATAACACAACAACAAATTTATATATATATATAATTTTAGATGAAAAGGTTTAACTACCTTTTAAAAAAGGGTAGAGAATTGTGAATAACTCATCTCAGCTTTTTTTTTTTTCCTCCCAGTCTGCAGCACAAAATCAAATCATTAAATCTAGAATGATTAGTATATTGATTGGAGAAATCACATTCACTTAGTTTAGTTGTCAAGAAAAATATCTTTCCAGGAAAGATTCAGTTCATATTTGTTTTTCTGAAAATTTCCCTTCACTTCAACTGTAAAATAGGCAATAGAATATGTGAAAGCACTACTAGAACAAGTATGCAAAAAATAAGGATATTTATGTTCTGGCTTTTTAGTGTGTTTATGACAGCTTTAGGTACAGATGAAAAAGACCATCTTTGTTGTGTATTTTCAGCAACTGTGTTCTCCAGTTCACTGGAATATTCACCTTTCCCTTGTGTTACTACCATGTGTTAATGGATAGTTAAGCTCTCAGCTGCTAACTGAAAATGTGACAGTTCGAACTCACCAAGAAGCTCCATGGGAGAAAGAACTGGTGATGTGCTCCTATAAAGTTTACAGCCTGTAAACCACTATGGGACAGTTCCACTCTGTCACATGGGGTCATTATGAGTCATAATTGACTTGACAGCACCTAACATCAACTACATGCATACTTCTCTCATTCATGAATGTCTGTGAGGTTTAAATTCCTATTGTTCAATTTAGAAAGAGCCTTCCTGTTCAGTTTGCATGCAGTGGGCTACTGCTAACATCAGGAGCTCTGGTAGCGTAGTGCCTAAGGCACTTGACTGCTAACCAGAAGGCTGGTGATTCCAACCCACTAGCCACTCCTCAGAATGAAGATGGGGTAATCTACTTCAGTAGTGATACTACCTCAGAAACTCAAAGAGGGGTCCTTGAGTCGGGTCCGACTCAATGACACATAACAACAACACTGCTAACATCCATTATTTCATATCGCTTCTCTCTTTATTCTTAGAAGATAGGGTAATACATAAAATATTTTTCTGTTGTTTGCAAAAATTAGAATATATAAAATATTTATAATAATTGGATAACTATCTCTTCAATACATGGGTAATATAAGAGAAATATCCTTGGGAAACATTTAAGTATTCATAAAAACTTTAGAATGGAAAAGTTTTTGCTGCCCAAATGGTTTTCTTCATTATTTAACTTCATCTAATTATTTGGTTTAACTAGTCTAATTTTAAGCTTTTATCAAATTTACTAAATATGGAAAATAATTTCATTATCTTGGAGTATGTCTCCATACTTCCCTACTCTATCTATTGCCTCTTTATATATTGAAAGTTAGGTTTACTAGTCATTGATTACTTTGTATAGACTATAGAAAGTGCTATCTTTATTTTCCCTTTATTAGTTTTTTGACCATTCCTACTTTTATACTAGGAGCTCTGGTAGCATAGTGCCTAAGGCACTTGACTGCTCACCAGAAGGCTGGTGGTTCAAACCCACCAGCCACTCCTCAGAAGGAAGGTTGGGCAATCCTACTTCTGTAGTGATACTGCCTCGGAAACCCAAGGAGGGGTCGCTATGAGTCAGGGCCAACTCGACAGCAAAAAACAACAACAACAACAACTTTTATACTATGTTTTCTCAGTCTATACGGAGAAAGTTCTCTCTTTAGAATACTTTACAAATTCATCTAAACCAAAAATGTAATTAGCAACAATATTATTTGCCTTCATGAAAGAACCTTAAGAGAGCTTCAGTGAAAGTCTTATGTCAATCCTATAAAGCTCTTTGCTTCATTTTCCAAAGATTTCGACAAGCAATGCTTTTGGTGTATTTCATGGCTAATATCTTGTCATAGATTATTTTTATTTGCCTTTTCAATTTGGTTAAAGTCTGATTTATGCATTTTGGGGCTCTTTCATTGGGTCCATAGATATTTATTATGGTTATATCTCCTTGTTTGATTGATCCTTTAATCATTGTATAATGCCCTTCTTTGTCTCTTATGGTGGTTTTTGTCTTAAAGTCAATTTTATCAGAAGTTAATATTGCCAGTCTGCTCTTTTTTGGTTGCCATTTGTTTGATGCATCTTTTTCTAGCCTTTGATTTTTAGTCTACTTTTGTCTTGATCTGTAAGGTATGTGTCTTGTAAATAGCATATCGATGATTATGTTTTCTTATCCATTCAGCAACTCTTCATCTCTTGAGTGGTGCATTTAATCCATTGACAGTGTAGTTATCAACAAGTATGAATTCTGCTGTCATTTTGTTATGTTTTTCTTTTTTTTCCTGGTTTCTTTGTTCACTATAATATTCTGCACTGAGCTGATTTTGTTTATGAATTGTGTTACCATTTCCTTCGTTTTTGTTGTTTTAGTATTTGCTAAATATTTGTCCTTGTCCTCTTTTTTATTGTGATGTGAAAGTTTATCATTTTTCTTTGAAGTTACCCTGTGATTTATAGTTTTCTCCTCGAGTTTAGAATAGTCCATTCTGTCTTGCAAATCTCTTGACTTCATCACCATGTAGAAGTTCTGTAACTATACTATTTTTTCCCTCTTTTTGGTTTGTAATTGTCTTCTTTTGCCAACTTGTGTCTCTGGTTC